AAGAGTGTGGAATAATTTTATTTTAATAAAACAGAGAGTAATTTTTAGTTTTTTTTATATCTATATAATTGAACTTAATAATAAAGGAGTTTATAACAATATTAATATATTTGTTTAGTTTTGATGAAAAGAGAAAACATGTTTATATTATTAATTTCACATTATATATTATCAATTAAATTATATTAAAATATTTAATGGCATTTAATATATAGTTTTATGCAATAACTAATTTAATTATTTTATATCAACACTATCCATTTCTTTACGTTTAAAAATGTTAGTGTACATAAACCAATAAACATAATACATTTTTTCCTGTTTTCTATAAAGTGATTTTGATGTTTCTTATCACACATTCTTTCATATTTGTCATTAAAAAATACATATTAATTATTTATATGTAAAGTACTCTTGTTCTTTTTTAATAGTTGTTTAAGGTTTTTTCCACACAAACTAATGGACATAATAAGTTTTTTGTAAAATAATTTTGATATTTTTTTATTGTATTTTCATTCATTTAATTTCATGATAAATGTAATGTGTAAAATAATTAAAAATCATGTGAGATGTAAAAGTATAATTAAAAAAATTTATAATTAATTAATGTGTTTTGGTACTTTGCAAACATCATATGAATAGAAATAATATTTTACTAAAAACTGACAATTACTCTTTCTGATCCTTTTTATTTTTCATAATTTTGGAACATTTTTTTTGTACTTAGATGTTCTTTCTAAATTTCAAAATAATATTAATTTCTTTTTGTTAATTATGAGTGTTTTTTTTCTTATTTATTTATTTATGTATTTTTATTTTTTTTATCTTTGTCAAAATGTGCAGGTTAGAAATCCTCGATATTAATTAATATTTGAAAAATTCTATAGTACTCATGTTATTTGAGAGAGTAACGGTACAGTTGTAATTATAATTTTATTTTATATTTTATATTTTTAATAATTTATTTAAATAATATTTATAATATTTTATTCTTTCAATTTTTAAATTATTTATTCATTTTTTTATTTTATATATTCTAATTTTATTTGTAATAATATTATTATATATTTAAATAGTTTAATTTTAATAATTTTTTAAGTATATTTTTTGTCTTTTCACTTAAAATTTTTAAATTTCTATATTATATTTTTGTCTTTTATCTTAAATTTTTGAATTTCTATATTATAATTTTAATAATTTTTTATTTTTACTATTTATTAATTCTTTTCTTTTTTAATGTTTTATAAAATTATAGAAATCTTATAATTTTAATCTCTATAATTTTATCTTACTTTTCATTTTATAATTAAATTCGTTTTTTTAGATCTTTTATGAGTTTACATAGAAGAATGTATTGAAACCTCTCAATCTTTGAGAGTACCGTAGCAACTCTCTTAATATTTTTACCAGTACATTTATTGATATACATCTTTATTACTAATAAATGAATTTATTTATAATTTATTACTAATAAATGAATTTTATTTATGTGAATCCTATTTGTTTTGAGACGCATACTATTCACTTAATGTTGTAACAATTAATAATGAATTAACAAATTATCAAATAATATGTTATTAGTATTTTTACCTTCATCGTATATATTTAGTGAAAACTTAAAAATGTGAATAGTTAATTAACTATTTATACACATTGTTAGGATTATTTTACTTACTTGGGAAACATGTGATCTTTATCATCATCATAATAATAATAATAATAATAATAATAATAAAAATAATAATAATGTGTATTTAGATTAGTGGTAGGCTGAACTCATACATTTTTGAAAACAACATAAAGTTATTCTTTTTGTAGTGAATCGGTAATTATGATTTTATATATTTATTGCTTAAAACTATCATGGTTAGTTTTAAACTCTCTTATACATTTTAAGTGCGTGATTTAGTTAGTTTGTTTTCTGACACCCTATTAGAGACTTTGTTCACTCCCTGGTTAATTAATAAATAAGATTTGTTATTGATATGGGAATGAGAATGGGAACGTAGCTAGCAACCTACTTCTACATATTTAGTAAATTCGTTGTCTATCCCTTTCACAAACATAAAGCCAGCACCTAACTCGTGCCCTATCCGCTATTATATACACTAAATTAAATGTTGTCATTGTACATAACTTCTTTTCTACTTTTGCAAAAGACAGTAACACAAACCCTCCATTGTTACAGAAGAAAAAGGAAAATGATTGAAGGCTTTAAAATTTGAACAAGAGAAAATATAAATGAAAGGAAAATTCCAATTTTTGTTTTTAAAAGTTCTTTTTTAATTTTTCATTAATCAAATATGTTATGGAGAAGCCCTCAACCCGCTTTACAAATCTAATTGATTTACACATGAGTACTTCAACATAATCATACACAAAACATAGCGGCTGATTAATTAGTCATGTTTACGTGGACTTAATTAATCACACTTATATTTATATTAAGTCATACTTAGACTGCCTTAAATTATGTTTGATTTACAACTCAAAGTAAAAAAAAATAATGTTTAATGTAAAAGCAACAAAATGTTGCTTCTTGATTTCCGATTTGAGAATGTGTACGTGTTTCATTTTCAATGACACAAATGAGTTTCCAAGCATGTACTTAAACACATTTAGACAAACTTATAGTTGTATTTAAACTAGCAAACATGCTTAGCATAATACGTTTTGTAACAAGCTGTTTATGCGAGACAATAATCTTTTTTCTCTCCGTGATAGTTATAAATAGGGACTCACATCACAAGTGTGATTACATTTTAATATTTTATCACTCTTTCTTCATATATACTATTATGGTGTTTATACTCCTTGACTACAGGCATGAATGTAATATTCTCATGTTTGATACTCTCTCATGGAATATTAGATTGTAACCAAACACGATGCTTGAGAATAACATTATGGTTAAAATATTTATGAGAATGAAAACAAACATCCATTTGGTGTTGCAGTGTTTGCTGATGACTTAACTATGATCATCTTCTATTGCTTGGGTCTTGCTTAGCCGGAGAAATTACTTGTGGTGACCTTCGTATTATCCATTCAACAAAATAAAATTAATATGCATTATTGTATTTTCTTCTTCTTTTTTGAACAACCAAAACGAAGATTGTATATAAAACCCTTTTACAGAAAATGATACGGAACATAAACCATTGTCATATTTCTGGTTTAAAAGCACAAATATTCCGCACTAGATACAAAAATAATATATGAAAACTACATAACTATCGATGGTTTAAAATTATCTATTCACTCCCTATTTAGCCTTACTATTTGTCTAGTTTTATGTCTTTCTTCCACTGTTTATTTTTACATTCAATCTAGTTAAGCACAAACCTAGATTGACACACTATTAAGAGAAAAAAATACTCAAACTTATCAGTCAATGCTGATAACCAAGCCCAAGAGTAAAATAGGATGTCTTTTAGCAAATTTTGTCCTTAAAACTAACCTTCCTTAAAAATACACTGATTCCTAAGATTTCATGTACAGCATGTAGTAGCACTCCATTGTATTTTCTTCTTAACTAAACATATTAGAAAATGCTACGATATCAATTAACTCAAATGATTTAAAGTTTAGGATGAGGCTCTTGAAACAATATATTAGTTAGTAGAATTGTGACATATATAACGAAATGCACGAGTTTAACTGTTACTTAATATCTAACAAGAGTTGCATGAAAAATTCATCTCTAATTTTTTACTTAATTACATTTCGAAGGGGATAGTTAATATCGGTGGATCAACAGTTACTTTCAGTTAGTTAACAAATAAGTGATAACTATTAGAGTTAACAGTTACTCAGTTAGTTAGCTTTGTGTTATATTAAAATTAGTTGGTTAGTTTAACCTGATCAACTTGTGTTATGACTTTACATATGGTTCCTTTCTTATTCTCTTGTATTTTATTATCAATCAATAATAGAAATATGTTTACTTTGTCTATGTACTGTGCCACGTTAAGAGTTGAGACACGAGTTATGTTAAGGAATATTAGGCTCAGCAGATGAAATAGTTGATAGTTTAGAAATAAAAAAATAGTTTATCTGCAGCTATATATATATTGGGGGCAATTATAGAGGAGTAGATAGAAAGTGAAATGAGAGGGTCATGGCAATGAGGCATTGGCTAGGAAGCTTCACTGTCACCCTGAGAGCAGTGATTGAAGGCCATGCATTTTGCCTCTGGTCAGGATTGGCACATTTATTGACCAACTTGATACCTCTCTCATACACCTGCCACAGCACTTACCTAGCTGTACCATCCCATCACATAGATCACTATTCACTACTTATACTACCTGAACCCTCTGAGCTTTCTGCATTTTCCAGATCCATCTTCACTAGCAGTATTAGGGTTTGATAAAAACATAAAAATGTTCCTAGGGTTGGACTTGGAATACTGGCTGGTGAACCACCCAACAATAAGAAACTTCTCATGGATACCAGGCAAAACCCTAGGTTCCTCACCACTGTTTCTGTGCCTCACCATCCTCTCATACCTCTTCTCAACCTTCATCCTCCCCCACAGGATACCCCTCCCATCAATCCCCCCACAAATCCTGAAACCAATCTCAGCACTCCACAACATCTCCCTCCTCCTCCTCTCCTTCATCATGGCCCTAGGATGCCTCCTCTCCGTCTTCTGCTATGCACCTCATCTCCAATGGATCATCTGCCTCCCCCCCCACACGAAGCCCACCGGGCCTCTCTTCTTCTGGGCCTACATCTTCTACCTCTCCAAGATCCTAGAGTTCGTGGACACGCTCCTCATCATCCTCAGCAACTCCATCAAGCGCCTCACCTTCCTCCACGTCTACCACCACTCCACCGTCGTCGTCATGTGCTACATCTGGCTCCAAACCTCCCAGACCCTCTTCCCCGCCGTGCTCTTCACCAACGCCTCCGTGCATGTGCTAATGTACGCCTACTACTTATCCTGCGCACTCGGGGTTCGCCCTAGGTGGAAGAAGCTCGTCACCAACGTTCAGATCATGCAGTTCTACTCCAGCTTCGGCGTCTTGGGTGTCATGCTTTACTATCACTTCACTGGCTCTGGCTGCTCCGGGGTTTGGGGTTGGGTCTTCAATGTCGTCTTCTACGCTTCTCTTCTCGCTTTGTTCGTCGACTTTCACAAGAAGAGTTATGGTGCTCCTGCTGCATCCTCCAAGAAAAACCTCGCCGGTGCTAAACCTTCCAAGCCCTTGTTCTATTTCAATCACACTCACAAGTGAGCCCTCATGTTATCACCAAAATTATTACATGGTCCATACCACATGATGATGTCAACAATCTTTACATGATGCATGGTCGAGTCGAGTACATGTTATTAATTCTTTTTAGTAAATTGAAAGCTCGACTATATGTCATGCAGAAATTGGTCAAAATCATGGTCAATGGTACCAGACTTTTTAATAATTTTTCAGCATGCTTTCTCGTTTCTCATTTTCGGTACTTCTATTTTTATCTTGTTTTTAAGCTGCCATGGCAACAAGCCAAATATTCAAATTAAGGTAATGGCGTGGTGATAAACAACAAATTGTTAAGGATTTGGACATGTGGTGATTTTATATCGATTTCGTAATGTGGATGATTTATTTGTTTACTATTAGTTATTTTAAGATTCTTTATCTACTTTGTATGTCCAGTGGATATATGAAATTAATCACGTTCTTTCATGATTATGGATAAATATATATATGCATGCATGGCCTATAAGTTAACTGTTTCAACAGGAATATGATTTCTTATTGTGTATTGGATAGTTAGACACGTCTCTGTATTATTTATTTTAGGTTTAAACTTTGGACAATTTAGTGTTTGATTATCTTCAAAAGACCTCGTACGAATAAAAACTTTTTTGTATATTTATAAATATTGTGTTGATTTTCTTATTTTAACCATATATGTAAGGCTTTGATTGCATTCGAAAACTATAGGTTTTAATTTGTGGCCCTAAAGCAGTTGCATTTATCGTCTACCAACTACCCATCGTCAAAATAAATTACTTGTACTCGGCAGTCGATGGATCTTCAAAATGTTTCATGCAACTGCTCTGCTTTCCTTTTCCTATCTTCTGGCATCTCTGCAGGTACGGAGTTCCCTGGCTACAGTATGTGAAAAATATAATATATAGATCAAGAGAAATTAATGCTCATTGTTTCATATTTTATTTATGAGATTTTGTCAATATTATACTTCTGCCACAATATATATAGCTCAGACATCGAATTAAATGATATACCCGTACGTCAAATATAGTTCAAGTCGGCTTTCAGTTTTCTGGCAATTTAACCCTATATATGTTTAGTACTCAATCTTATAATTAACATCATCCAAATCCGCCAATATTCAACTATATAATCACATATCATATGACAGCTAAAATATATATGGGAGGGAAGATCATGAAATTGTGACGCAAGATTAGCATATTCCATATATATAAATTATCCTTAAACTTGTCAATAATTATATCCAACAATTAAAATCTTATTTTTATTGGTGTTTCTCCTTTTAAAGTTTATTAAACCCCCATATATATTATGTGCTTCATCTAGGTCAGGAGTACGTTCTACTTGCCTACTTTTTAATTTTCTTCTTTATTTTTAATCAGGAAAGAAAGAGATGTGTTAAGTTGGTAAAGGTACCGAAAACTTATATACTGATCATCATTCATCAGTCAAAGCGTGCAGCAACTAGAAACAAAACCACTTGATACAATTTATTACTACTCCTTTCCCTCCGTTTCATAATAAATATCGTGTTTTTAAGAAAAATTTCTTAAAATAAGTGGTGTCAATTTTCAATGTTGTATTAATTTTTTTTCATTAATTCATAACTCTTATAGTATTCTTTAAAAAGTAGTATAGTATTGCATCATTTTTAGCAAAAAAAATAAAGATTAATCAATAATAAATTTTGTAAAATAATTTAAGACAAAATTTATTATAAAATAGAGAAAGTATTTATTTATATATAAATAAAAGATAACCAACGAATCAAACAGCACTAGTCCAACCATACTAAAACCAAGAACTGATACAATTATGTCCTACTAGTCCTAAGCCAGTATATAGAGCTAGTAAACCCGAAACCAATACCAGAGAAGCACAAGTTTCGACTTAGACCATATCTAATCAATAAGCAGAATCAAACTACCTAACTCTATTTTTTGAGAGACTTGCGTAAACAGATGTGAGTCGAATGGCAAAACAATGCAATGTTATCGCTACAAGTATGCAAAATATTAAAATAATAGAATAATTTGTCCATTATAAGTGGCTCATTTTGTTTTATTATTGAAATAGTGATGAACGTTTCAATTTTTTTGTTTATAACAATATTTTAATGTATGAAATAGAGTTCATATTTTCTAATTTTAGTTCATATAATTGTTAAAAAAGAAACAAAGCAGACATCAAGAAAAAAATCCTCTCCATTTCCTTTATTGTTATGCTTTTGAAAAGAATAAATGATACTCCGTTATGTGTGATATATTTCTATTTTATTTATTTCTCTAAAATTATAATAATGAAACAAAATGGAGAGAAAAAAAAATTGAAGAGGATGAAGTTGACTATATATATATATATATATTGGAGGAGGAGGAAGAAGGATCCACTTGCTCAAAAGAATAAGTTTATTTATATTTATTCTATTTAATAGCTTATATTCTACATTAAATTTTAGCAATTTAATCATTAAACTAAAAGTTCTTACATATAAATTAAGTTTACAAAGTTTTAAAAAAATTAAAAAAAAAGTATTTAATATTATGTTTCAATAATTCAAATTAATAGATAATTATAAAAATATTTTATAAGTTGATTTGAATTAATAAAATGGAGTATAAAATAATTTTAAATTTTTTTTAAAATTTTATAAACTTAATCTATGCATTAAATTTTTTTAATTCAATAATTAGATTATTAAAATTAATATAAAATATAAATTATTTAATAGAAGAAATCTAAATAAATTTATTTTTGAAATGAGTGAATTCCTCGTTTTATATATAAGGACAAGGAATTGAAGTTTAAGTGAGATGCATTTCATTTTGAATGAGCTATGTAGGGTGACTTTAATTTGAAAGACACATCATTTGTTGACCGGTACTCATAATAAAATGGGATAAACCTAATAAAATTAAGAGAATTGTTACGATACCCTCAAAGATCGAGGGATTTCAATATATTTTTTTATGTAAACTCATAAAAAATTTTAAAAAAATTAATTTAATTATAAAATGAATAATCTAAATTATACTTATAAAATAAAAAATAAGATAAAATTATAGAGATTAAAATTATAAGATTTTAATAATATTATAAAATATTAAAAAAATAAATAAATTAATAAATAGTAGAAATAAAAAATTATTAAAATTACAATATAGAAATTCAAAAATTTAAGACAAAAAGACAAAAAATATACTTAAAAAATTATTAAAATTAAAATATAGAAATTCAAAAATTTTAAGTGAAAAGATAAAAATATACTTAAAAAATTATTAAAATTAAACTATTTAAATATATAATAATATTATTACAAATAAATTAGAATATATAAAATAAAAATAAAATAACTAAATAATTTAAAAATTAAAAGAATAAAATATCATAAATATTATTTAAATAAATTATAAAAAATATAAAATATAAAAACTGTACCGGTACCTTCTCAAATAAGATGGGTACCATAGAATTTTTTTAAAATTAATTAACAGTCAGTTTCTGGGACTGTGGGCCTGTGGCGGATTAGGAGTAATTTATACATGATTATTATCATTCATAAAAAAATATATATTAAATGAATAAAAAAGCACTCAACAACTCAGCAACTTTGTAGCCGGGAAGAAAACATGAGAAAGAATGGAAAGTTCAGACGAATAGTTTTAGAGTATAAACTGAAAAAAGGAACAAAATATAAGAAAAAGTTAGCCTATAAAAGACAGAATTTAACACGACTAAAAACTTGAAAAAGATAACAAAACTAGATACATATACGTTCTTTTCTATTTTTCTCCAAGTCATGGGTAAAATCTGTTGTATAAATTTGTAGACGCTGTAACGACCCGGCTGGTCACTACACGCGGCAAAGCACATTAGAAACACCAGACAGATAGAACAAGTATATAAATATAGGATCTAGAATATATAAATATACAAAGTTCCAGTCTGACTAGAGTTAAAGTGTACAACAGATACATCATTCTATTGCTACACCGAGTAGCCAAACAACAAAAAGACCAACATCCTAAGAGGATTAGCTCCAACTGTCAGCTACAACCCAACTACCAATCTCCGACCTATTCCTGCTCTGCTCCCATACATAGTATGATCATTGCAGTCCAAACATCATGGAAAACAACAAAAGGGTAAACTAGTATAATAAAAATCAACATACAAATATATAAGACAATATAGTAAACGACAACTACAATCATCAGTACACCTGTACAACTTATACCACTCAACAATACCAGCACCGCAATGCGGCTATATCAGCACTGCTTAACAGCAACAAGAGCACCACTCGAGTGACTATAACAGCACCGCAAAGCGGTATCACCAGCACCGACTTAGCGGCTATAACAACACCACTTATGTGGCTAATATCAGCTCCGACTTAGCGGCTATAACAGCACACAACTCAGCATAGTACAGCACAACGCAGTATTAACACACTTATTATTTTTCACAATTCAGTCCAACCGTCAATGGTTCCACTTATAAAATTTTATATATAATTCATCGATTTCATCTCAACAATACTCATCTAGTACAACTAAACATTATTATCTCAGCTTTATTCACTAGTCATCACGGCATATTTATCAAATACAACTTAATTCAGCATATAACAACATTGATTAACAGTCTCAGCATGATTCAACAACTAACATCTTATAAGTCAATATCTCCTTGCGCGCCCGGCGCACTCGAGGTCGCGCCCAGCGCGGCCCAACCCGAGAGTACTAGGGCTAGCGCGCCCAGCGCAGGAGTACTCGCGCCCGACGAGACTCAACCCGAGAGCACCAAGGCTCTCACGCGCCTGGCGCAAATTCTAAATTGCGCCCAACGCCTGCCTGGCAGAGACTCAAGGAGTCTCGTGCGCTCAGCGTGGCCTAACTCGCGCCCAGCGTGGGGAAGGCAGAGACCTATTAAGGTCTCGTGCTCGACGCAATTCGCATTGCGCCCAGCGCCCTCTTGGCAGAGACTCCCAAGGAGCCTCCGCGCCCAGCGAGTTTACACGTGCGCCTAGCGCGGCACCAGAGTACCCAAACCATGTCACCGCTGATATCGCGCCCAGCGCAGCCCAAGTCACGCCTGGCGCGGGCCAACCAGAGACTCCCATTTGCAAGCTCGCCCGGCGCACACAGCTTTGCGCCCGACGGGCTTGCCTAAACAGAGTCTCCTGGTGGTCGCGCGCCCGGCGCGAAGAACAGCGCCCAGCGCGAACTCATCCGTGACCCTCCCCAAGTTCGAAAATCTTCCAAATCCTGCAAAACTTGACAGCAAATCCATATGCAATCCAGCCAAAAGTTCCTAATCTCATCAAACCTCAATAAAAATGCCTCATTTTCAACATGCAAACACAATCTAAGGAATTTCTCGAAATTTCATCCAAAAACCCCAAAGCCCGAAAAGCCCCCAAATCAGAAATTTTCCACAGCTCTTAGCTCAAATGCAACAAACACCCTACCACCAAAGAGTTCTTAGAACTCGTTTTCAACCAAACAAGCAAAGGACTAGCTTCCCTTACCTTGAATCCAGAAATTCGAGCTCCGGGAACTTGAATGAAGAAGAAGAATGGAAGAGAGCTTGAACGGAGAGGAAGAACGAGCTTGCGGACTCAACTCTCGGACAAGGAATCAGCTCCCCCACCACTTGCACCTAGGGTCACCAAGATTCACCACAAGAAATTTGAGAGAAAAAAAGAGTGAGGGTTTAGAGGAAAGGGAGTCTTGTGTGAGGAAGAGTGAGTGAGGTTGAAAATGAGTAAGGGTGAAAAATAGAAAAGAAATTTAGGGTCCTCACAGACGCAGTTATGAGCAACTTGAAACATTGAAGTTAGTAAAAATTTTCTAAAACGTATGATGACACTGATTTTAAAGACTTATCCGTGAGATACGCACAAACCCCCGCCCCCCAAGATACAACATGGTCATCTCAAGGAATTGAGGAGCAGAACTGACAATTAGAAAATTTGAGAACTCAGAGAGAAGAAAGAGAGAAAGGTGTTTTTGGGTTAGAAAATAGTGTGCGGAGAGGCCTTTATTTATAGAGTCTCAAAAACCCTAAAAAATTACGTAATTAATCCAGCAATTAAAGAAAATAAATCTGGTAATTAAAAGAAATTAATTCAGTAATTAAAATAAAATTAATCTAAATTTATAACGGTAAGATTTTAAAGACAGAATCAAACTACCATTTTTAAATAAGGTTTCCTTAATTAATTAAAAATAATTTAATATAATCAAAATAAAAATATTTCCGGATCTTATTTTTTTTTGAAATATCATATATACAAAATCTACATAAATCTGGCACGTACGGTTGTTAGATATTTTGTGTGTTATTATTTGTAATTATAATTCTGTTTTAGTAATATACATAATAAAATTTAGGTTATAGATCACGAGGGATACTGAGCAAAATATTCAAATGAATTATTTCATTTAAATATTTTTATCTAAATTCACGATCTTTTAAGTTTTATTTGTGGCAAAGCTTACCTGAGTGTAAAGTGATGTTGGATAGATCATGGATGGCAAGGAAAACAGAAAGATGGAGAATTAATTATTTGTGCTAAGGGGAGCCCCATAATTTGTTCTCTAAGGTATATATGATTTGCATCTTCTGCACACATGGCATCATCATGGTACAAATTATGAGCACTGAAAATACTTAAAAACAAATGCATGCAATTGTCCAACTAATCAAACTATAGCCTAGCATAACTTACTCATAGGTGTAAATAGAAAATAAAAATCACCGTTAATAGAGCCAAAATTTAACGCTAATTTTAGTAGCCAACAACTTTTTTATACATAATAAAAGTTATATAATAATAAAAAATTTAATATTGTTTTTCTTTTGTTGTGTTGTGAGTGCCCCCTACCCTACGCCGTTCCCCCTTTCTTCCCCTCCCCCGCGTCATTTCTTTCTTTCACTGTTGGACACCTTCACGCACATCAATGTTGCGCCACGTTTGTTTAAGTATTTATAAAAAAATTAATATAATTGGATCCTCATATTGATCGGTTTATTCGAGTGCTTTCCGGATAGATATGGAGTTGAAAAGTTAATCTATTTATTTCGTAAATTAAACTTATTGAGTTTGTTAAAAATAATCAAACTTATTGGATTTGTTAAAAATGTCACCACTATAATTTTTTATTATATGCAATTTTTTTATGTGAATTTTATATAAAATTTTGCAACAAATATTATCTTATAAAATTTTTTGAAAAATTTTATCTTTATCGATAATATATTTTACAAATTTTAAAATTTGTAAGAAATTTTCATGTAGAATTTTTTGTGAAAGAATTCGTAAAAAAATTTCCTATGAAAAAAATTTATACAAAATTCTGCAAGAAAATTTCTTACAGAAAAAATCTTCAACTTTTAAATGTTTACAATGAATTTATCTAAAACATTAAGAAATTTGCTTTCATGCATCCACCATGTGATACATAACCTTTTAAACTCCTAGATTGTAGATTATAAGTCTAACACTCAACCATACAAATCAACTTGTAAAGTAAGTGTTGCCTCAACTTATATATGTTTTAATTATTTTGTTTCCAATCGATGTGAGACTTGAAGTTTTCTTTAAATATTAATTAGATCATACCTTTAGAAAAATGATTAATTCATTATATTGAACAACAAAATTATATTATTATAAATTATTTTAACTCTTAAAATATTCAATATTCTAAAAAATATAGTTTTTTATTAAATAATTTAATTTTAAAAATTATCATTAAATTAAAACTTATCATCATTAATTTATACATTTAATTAAAATAAATATTTAATTTATTAATATTTTAAATTAAAATTAATTTTTATGAAATATTTATAAATAATTTAGTAAAATAATATTTTATTAAGTAAATAATTTTAATTTTAAAATTTTATAAATTATCATTAAATTAAAACTCATTATCATTAATTTATCATATTTATAAAATTTGTATATTTAATTTAAAATTAAAAATAATTATAATGATATATTTATAAATAATTTAGTAAAATAATATTTTTTAATTAAAAATCTTTTAGTTATTAAACTTATAAATTTAAACATTTTTTTTTATTTTCTTGCGAATTAATATTGGTAGGAAAATTTGCAGGAAAAGTTACCTACAATTTTTTTTTATCATTTAATAAACGTTACATGCAAAAAATTTTTACAAGAAACAAAATAAAACTCTTACAGCATTTTTTGCAAATTTTTACCATGGAAAAAATTTATGTGATAATTGAAATTGTAGCAAAATTTGCAAAAATTTATTGTAGATTATTTTTCATAAAATTTTTTGTAAGAAATATCTGTAAATTATTTTTGGCAAATAAACTCGTAAAAAAAATTGTGAAACTATTATTGTAAGAAAATTCACAAAAAAATAAGAAAATTCATAAAAAAATGACATTTTTCTAATAGTATGTAAACATCATTGGTCGATCTAATTTGTATACCCATCCTTAATTATCGTTATGTATTTTAACTAATTTTTAACTAATTTTTCCATAAATTTGTTTTATTCTAAATATATCCTTTATAAAGTGATTGTCATTTTTAATTTTAATAACTTTGAAAATTAATGATTATTATTTTCATTAGATTTAAAAAAATTAATTTATTATTTATAATTAGAATCATACATAATATTATAGATTAAAAATATAATAAATACCTAATATGAATAATAATAATAATAATAATAATAATAATAATAATAATATAAAAATAAATGTGTATATATTTATTTAGTTATGTAATATAGTAGTCAAAGTTCATAAAAAATATATATATAACAAACATGAATTATATACCTAATGGTCTAACTCATTTAGTATTTTTTAATAGGATGGATTAGATTTTTCACCCATGAGCCTATTTTGAATTAATCACCTTGCATGCTTAACTGCTAAACCAACTACTTGAGTTCTCAGACTCACTTCAACCAAAACACCACCAGAAAACTAACTTCCCTTACCTCGGGTGAAGAATCCGAGCTTCCGGGAAGAGAAACGGAACGAAGAGGAAGAGAGTTGGAGAAGAAGATGAAGGAAGAGGCTCCGCACAGCACGGTTCAACAAGAATTTCAACCTTCAATCAGCACCTTCAACCACCAAAACCACAAGTTCAAAAGAGAGAAAGGAGAAGCGAGAGTAGTGAAGTATGAAAGTGGAAGTTTAGAGAGAAGGTGAGTTGGAGAAAAGTCCGTACGGGGGCTCTCACATTTACCAAAGAACAAAGAGAAAATTCTCACAAAGAAAAATAACAATTTGATTATTTTATTAAGTATGTCTTGGATACTTGCAAGAGATTTTTATTTATAAACTTAAATAAGCAATCTATCATATACGAGTAGTAACTTTACACTACAAACTTTACCGTGATATAAATTTCTACTAACATTTATATTTTACTAGAAATGATTTTCCTCTAATTCACTAATTATCATTATGGTTTAGAGAGTCAAAAATACTAAAAAGTAAAAAATAACTTAAACAATATAAAAAAACATCTAAATTTATTTAATTAAAATAAAATACAAAAATTATATTAAATTAAGAAAATGAGCTTAAGTAATTTTTTATAGTCCAAAAACTAATTAAATTTTAATTTATTCATATTTATTCTTGATCATACAAATTTGGACTTGTCATGTTATTTTTAAATTAGATTCAAATTTTCATTCACTCGTAAAAAAGTGATATATTTTGGTGTAACCTTTATTTCACAAACTTTCACTCCAATAGACAATGGTACAATTTTTATTTATTTAATTAAATAGTTTGGTCTATTAAAAAAATAAATTCAATTTGTTTTATCCTTAATAATGTTTCAAGTTTGAGGTTTAAAATTGTTATCATCATTATAATTTTGACATATAAAAAAATCACTACGTTGGAGGCACCTCCAAAGGGTGGGATAACTGGCCCCAAGATTTAACGCGGCTGCATACACAAGGCAAGATTCGAACCTCTGACCTTCCTTAAAGGTGGATCAACCCCTACCGCTGAACCACACGCTTGGGATTGCTGTATTGCTTATTTGGTTATTACCAACCTTAACATTCCTTTTATTTATTTATTTATTTTATTTATAAAAAAAAGAGATCTAGGATAATATTTGGGCAAACATTGTCAATTTTATACATGAAGTTACGAATATCCTAATATTTTTTCTGCACGTATAATTTTTTTTTTCTTTCTCTGAATTAGACGGTAAATAATAATGTAAGACCTAAATTAAGGCAACAATTTACGTAAGAGGTAAGACAAGCTGATCGTTATGTAAGGAAAGAAGGGAGAAAGATGAAGTAAATTATTTTCTTAATTTGAAAAATTGCTAAATATGAACATCTGGATTTGATTCGGTCAAAGCATTTGGATTGGGCTACGATACACTTGCTACATTTGTATCAATGAATTTCTCCCTTTGTAAGAGACAATGTGTATGCGAGTTGAAGAAAGCCAAGGCGACGCTTATGTGTATATTATTATCTCTGAACACCGATAGACAGTTGCAAAAATTAAGGATAACCAACCGTTAACTGCCAACGACCGAAAACGGTGGCTTTTATAAGTTGGAGTTTGTTGTGTTCATTTGTTGATTGTTGTTTCGTGTCACCTTTTCTTCTTCATTCAACTTAAACCAAATCCCCACTGCATCAAAAGGGGAGGGAGGGATTTTGCTCCTTAGTAGTTAGGGCGGTTTTCCGATTCCTCGGAAACCGCTCTACTACTTTTACGAAATTCATCAACCACTTTGGATGGGTTATTTTTCATAGTTCATCTGATGGAATTCTTTGGATGATTTGTTTTTCATAGTTCATATTTAGCTTCCATAATTTGAAAGAAAAGGTGTTCCTGGATCAAGCTGTTTTCACTTCAATGCCCTTGCCGTATTTGGTGGTGGCAAGAAGGTATGGGTGCAAATTCAATATGCCAATGGAAGTGGCCTAAACGAAGTGAATGGATGAAGGGCAAAGTGGTGGGATGTGGATCTTTTGGCACTGTACATTTGGCCATAAACAAATCCACTGGTGGACTTTTTGTTGTGAAATCACCACATTCGGGTGCTGGACGCGAGGCCCTGGCTAAAGAGGTTAAAATCCTCGAGACTTTAAATTCATCGCCATATATTGTTAAATGTTTGGGGACAGAGGAGGACCAAGGCAAGATCAATATTTTTATGGAGTATATGGCAGGGGGTAATTTATCAGATGTGGCACACGAGTTTGGTGGGTCGTTGGAAGAGGAGGTGGTTCGGGTCTATACAAGAGAAATTCTTCTTGGGTTAAAGCATCTTCACCAAAATGGAGTTGTGCACTGTGACCTTAAGTGCAAGAACGTGCTTTTGGGGTCATCTGGTAACATCAAGTTGGCGGATTTTGGATGTGCAACGAGGGTAAAGGACTTGGCAGATTGTTGGCACTCTATTGGTGGGACACCTCTGTGGATGGCTCCTGAAGTATTGAGGAATGAGTCAGTGGATTTTGCTGCAGATATATGGTCCTTGGGATGTACAATTATTGAGATGGCTACTGGCACGCCTCCTTGGGCTCATCAGATTTCAAATCCATTCACTGCTGTTATCAGCATTGCCCACGGCCATGAGATACCTCAGTTTCCACCTCATTTCTCTGAGGAAGGTTTGGATTTCTTGAGCAAGTGCTTGGAGAGAGAACCCAGTAAGAGGTGTACGGCTGAGGAGTTACTTGTCCATCCATTTGTTTCCACAAGACTTTCTCACCAAAAATGTGTTTCCTCACCAGCAAGTGTCTTGGATGTTCAAAACTTCAATGATACTTATTATGATTTAGATGGATTAGAAAGTTCAGAGGGGAATGATTTCTCAACCACAAAATCATTTGCATGTCACGATGATGGCCCAAAAGGAATAACAATGTGTAAACAGGAAGACAGTGCACTGAGGTCATCAGGGAATTGGATTACTGTTAGATCAGGCTGAAAAATAGAAGGGTTAATGTACATACTGAATTCAATTGTACAGCTTTGAACTCAAGCATATGTAGGAGACGAATAGGTTGTCAAAAGTTTCAAGGGCTTTTCCATAGCATTTTCACATAACTATGTATCCATCCAAAGGATTAGTAATACTAGCCACACATTTGTTATTAAAGGGATAGTATCTGTCTGTCTCATGTGACATAAATACCGCAAGATTCCTACATGTTGCATTGCATTTTTAATTATTTATTCATCATTAAACCAAAGATTGTTTGGGATTGATGTATATGCCTATTTTTAGTTTTCTAAAGATACCATTTCTACTTAAAAAAACCAAAGCGTTGTGTAACTATATCTGGACTATTATCAATATCTTGTATATTTTGAAATATGTGAAGAAATAATAGAAATTTCTCGATTTTTAGATTTAATTAGATAAAAAAATATAGCATCTCATGAATTTCAAATTCCTATCCTTACTACTTTAATATTTTGTTTGAATGGAGGACTTATTAGATAAAAAAAATATAACATTTTATTAATTTTAAATTCGTACCCCAACTTATTACTTTAATATTTTGTTTGGATTACAAAAAAATTTGAAATCTAAATATTTATAAAATTCCTTCAAAATAGTAAAATTTTAAATTCTTCAAAAAAAAATTAAAATAAATTTTTTTTTTCTTACCTCCATATTTTTTTATTTTTTATTTTAGGTTCGTACCTGGAGTATCCACCGCCGACAGCAGTGACTAATCTCCTCGCTACGTTGGAGGCACCTCAAAGGGTGGGATAGCTGGCCCCAAGATTTAACGCGGCTGCATACACAAGGCAGGATTCGAACCCCTGACCTTG